CAAATCTTGTATGCTTTGCGAGTTGGGGAGCTAAACAGTGAACATTTATCAATACTCCTGTCTAAAGTTTCTACAAGTTTGAGCTTGAAAAAGTGGGTTTGAGCTTGAAAAAGCTCTACGCATTTATCCTACAAATATCCAAGTAGATAACCACAACAGTAACGTGCTCAAATATGTTACGAACAAAGAGGCGTTCGGATGTTTGACATTAAGGCCCAGGATCAACTGGTCGATTCTGAAACGAGTTTTGGGCCCTAATATGTCATCCCAAGAGCCACCAAGTGAAGAGAAAATATATTTCCTAAACGTAAGACGTAATGTAAACTATGCCCAACCCTAAATAACAATTATCAAATAAATCAGATGAGCACTGGGTACTGGGTACAGTTACCAGCATCACAAAAAAAAAAGAAAAAATATGATAACAAGTAGCAAAAATATTTGTAGATTCTGATAGGAGTGCAATAGAATATGCAAGAGAGCGTGTTGGTTTGGTTGGAGTCTGGTTGGATGTGCAGTGAAACATTCTTCGAGTATGTGGCTAACGTCTTCAATTCATGGCTGATTGAAGAAGGCATCGAAAAACCGATACTCCTGTTTGTTGACGGTCACAAATCGCACCTCATTTTTCATTTGTCAACTTTTTGATCTGAAAACGGCATACCGAACATCCTGCAGCCTATGGAGCTCCATGACTTCTGTTTATCTTTTGGTTTATATTAGAGTTCATTAAAGAATTTCCTTTTTTTTGTTAAATAAATTTGTTAAGAAATATATTTTATTTTCAATATTATAACTTGTTTTACTTGTACTAAATAAGATTAGCAAAAATAAACCCATATCATTAATGTGTCCCGTCCTGCGCGAGCACTCAGGAGTATTTAGGGGCGCGAGCACTATGACTCATAGTCTATGAGTATTTAGGAACGCGAGCACCCTAGTGTTAAGTTATGTGATTCCGAAATTCGGTACGATATTGTGGAGGTAAACGAAACACACCTCTACTCATACACCAACAAATATTACAGGGGAAGGCTTCTACATAGCCAAACTTGGCCTTTCGGCTGCATAGCCTTTTGACCAAAAATGAACATGTCGAGCTAATTCAAAATAAAGATAGGCCCACATTGGATGCTATTGAGGGGTCGTATTACCTAGTACGATGTAATGTGTACCACCTATCTATGTATGTGTAATGGGNGTTATTCTCGATATGTAGGAGTCGGTTGTGGAGGCGCAGGCGCATTGATCGGGCGCTGCGCCAATAAACCGGAATTTACTAAATACGACGTGCATCATTTATTATCCCACGTTCACGGCCGACATCCAGTCCTGACACTGGTGACCCCGAGCCACGCAAAAGTCGACAATGTATCCGCAAACCACCAAAACTCAGCCGATTCCACAACCACCGCCATCTACGAGCACAATGCCAGCAGCCAGCAGAAAGGCTGAGGATAGCGAAGTGTCAGTGTTATCAGTGAGCTCCAGAATTCCTGAGTTCTGGACCGACCAACCTAGTCTGGTTCATCCGTGCAGAGTCAGTCATTCTGCCATAAAAAGTGAACGTCGAGACACGGTTTAACATCATCGTGTCTAAGCTGGGCAAAGATGTCATTCAGCAGGTGACATACCTCCTCATCAAACCTCCGGAATCTAACAAAAGGACAAAAACATTGCAACAAAAAATACAATCTTACAAAAATAAGAAGCATCAGCCCCACCCTAATCATTCCTGACGATGTAGACAAAGAAACAGAATCAGAATTGGCTGACAGCCTCTGGTATTTTTCAATGGATATTTAGCCTATAGGCTATTAAAAGGCAATGATTGCAAAACATGCCCTTCTTCAAGAAAAAGTTGTTGTAGATAACCCAATCTACAAATATGCAAGTCTGAAAGAGTGGTAGAAAGACAAACATTCTTTAACTTATCCATCCATAAACTTATGCCGAACTACTGAAGCTGCATTGCTTTGTTTAAAAAAAAAATGAAATTTTATTGCATAATTGAACATTTAAGGGACATGCAATACATTTTGATTGATAATTAAGGGATATGTTGATAAAATTACTTACCAAAATTTTAATTTGGAAGCAATGCCAAATTTTAAATTCTGAATTCATAAAAGCTGAAGAAACAGTGGCTAACACTTAAAATAGCACAAGCTCAATAATTAATAGTTCTTTGGTTCCTATTAATTATCCCTATTGGCAGTGATAAATGGATATAAAAATCCAACTATCCCTACCGGTGCAAATCGGTTGAGATATGTGGAGCAAAAGATTCCATATAACCCTACCGGTAGCTATAATTGAAAAAAAACCTAGTATCCCTAACAGTGGGGATATCTCAGTAGGGATATGTGGAATAAGGGATAATAACATTAGAACTCAAATGGCTATGCTAGCCATGGTCCATACAAAAGTTCCCATATTGTCTATGACGGATTCATATCATTCAATCTTGTCTATGACGGATTCATATCATTCAATCTAACTGTTCAGATCATGTCATACCTATACAAAACATGTTGGGCATTAAAATTATATTAATCACCCTCTGTACCATGTTTGTTTCTTAAAAGTAAATTATTTTGTTTCATTATAACATTATCAACCAAAAACACAGTAAGTACTTATTTTCTCACCTGAAACACAGGTAATCAACATAGTTCAGGTTAAAACTGACGGACTGAGTTATGTATGAATGACACAACTTTGATTTACACATAATATGTAAATAGGTACATCAATACTTGAAGATGCGTTAACTGGTCAAATCAGACAAAGTTAAAACAACGCTGTGTACTACAAAACAAGTTACTGTTTTCAGTAAGACACAAAAAATTAACTACAATAGACAAATACCCAAAGTATACGAGATGTGTGTGGAAACTAAGTGAAATTCTTTTTCTTCTCTATAGCTATTGTGTTTCCATCTTAGCCAATGTCGAAGTGAAGTTCTACATTATGTAGCAAAGATTCATTTTCATTGTAAGATGCCATTTGATTAGAGTATGTTTAACTTTGAGAACATATTTATCGAAAGTTTGATACATCAAATAACTAGTTATTCAAAAGATCTAACGAAAATACTGCTGCCTGTAGAAAAATTCATTTAAATGGGGATGTAGGTACACATTTTAACTCTATGAATGAACAGAGCGTAACTTGAGTAGCGTCCTGCGTTTCCATATCAATCCCAATACAATAAACAAGAGATATACAGTATATCATATACTGTTCCACCTATAACGTTTTACTGTTCCCACCTTCCGACCTGCGGTTTGTGGAAAATTAACTTATTTATTGTACTTTAGCTACAGACATGAATAGAACACATAAATGAACCGTACAGGGGACAATGGGGTTAGCAAATACGACTTGAAATTACACATGAGAGACGAGACGATATGACTACATCAAAACAACGACGAAAATCGAAATCAACAAATCAAATTACTTAAAAACAAGGTAAGTATCTAAGTCATGATTATTTCATGGTAAACCAACGAATTAAACATCCAAATATACCAAAATAGACAACATTTGGTTATACACAAAGAAAAAAGAACACAGAAGCACAACCAACAACCAAAACCAAGCGACGAAAAAGAGGAATGTGACATGTTGTGTCAGTTGTTGCAACTTGACATCTCAAAATGTCTATGGTGCATTCTCTTCTCTCTGACCTTTAGTCTATGATATAGTAGGGACGTGAATCACAGATTAGAGCATTAACTTTATGATTAGAGCACAAGAGAGTATAACTGTGGGTCTAGTCAAAACGCACTTTAAAATCGCAAACCCATCGCAAACCAGTCGCAAACAAACAAACAAATCGCAAAAGAGGTCGATAACAAAAAAGGCTTAGTCAAACGGCAAAAAATCGAATCGCAAAGCCCTACCTATCGATAATCGAAAGACTGGATTGAAATTTCCCATACAAAGGCTTAGCCAACATGCACTTAAGACTCAATCAAAATCGAATCGAATCGCAACACCCGCCATTTTCATTGCGATTACTAAAATACCGGTGATAAGCTTCGATTATATCGAAAACCAATAGGGTGAGTTGCACCACCTAACTTTGACCGTAATTATGACGTTAACCGGTGTTTTTTGTATGGAGTTTGACAGATTTTAGACGTTTGTCAAAGTTAAACTAAGATGGTGCAATAGAGATGGGTAGTGGGTAAAAACCCATTTCACCCGATTGGGTTAAAACTGGGTGATTTGGGTAAAAACCCGGTTTTTACCCATTATCACCCATTCTGGTGGGTGAAAACAAAAATGGCGTTTTTTTAAAGTGAGAAGTGGTATTTGTTGCTAAGGGGGCGTTCTAGTGTTACGTAATGCAATCTGAGGGGAGAGGAGGTCTTGAAAAACGTTACAATGCGTTACAGTGGTGGAAGGGCGGTTCGATTTCAAGTTTTAAAGCAGAAGTACTTTGTAGTTGGTGTTGTTATTTGTAACTTTATACCGTAATGTCATCAAAGAGAGAGTTTGGCATCTTTGGCACCCCCCCCCCTTCCCCTCCATGTCCTTGCCATGATCACAAATTATTGTGTTCCTACTAAATTTCTTCTAAATCGGTTCAACGATTCTTGAAATAACAAAAAGAAAAAACAATCGCAAAGTCATAGACATTTTTTAACTTTTATTCGATTTTGAATGAACTTTTATATCGCCGCGTCGTTGGTGGTTCAATGTGCATTTTGGCTGCCATTTTCCGATCGAATCGAATTACTGGTGACGCGGCGACTGACATTAGTGAAAACTTCATATTGGTTTGCGATGGCATTTTGACTAGACCCACTGATGTGAATGTGAACATAAATGTAAACTTTTTTGTTTATCAAACTGAATAATGCTTTAAAAAGAGAATTCTTGACAATGTCACACGTGACATTTGTTTTATTAATACAAAAGTAAAAATAAGTTAATGTTAATAATTATTCGAATAAGTTGTTAATTATTGATAATGTATAGTAAAAAGAAAAAAATAAGACAGCATGATGTGGTTTACGACAATACAACAAGAGATTCCATTCCTAAACGAGGATACTACTCCGAATTGGTTTCCGATATGTCAAAAGAAGACCCTTCTAAGGATATTTGCGCAAGAAAACGAATGAAACTAATTCTACAGGTTTTTATTCATCTTAGTTCGTTCGTTCGTTTCAGTTCAGTCAAATTGATATCCACTGCTGGAAAATGGTATCCTCTAAGGATTAACGACCGTCCTGCTCTGCTGCCAGCATCCAGATACTTCCCACGACCTTCACCAGATGGTCCACGTAGTGCGAGACCTACCCACACGACGTCTTCCGGCCCGTGATCGCCTTCGCCATTCGCCACACAAGAATTCTGCTGCTCCAACGGCCACCAGCTTTGAACGCGTTTTTGCCACATTTATTTATCTTATTCAGCTTAAAATATCTGATTTCATTAATATTTTATACGAATCCAAATGGCTTTGGATTCTGAAATATCCTTATTAATAAAAAGCCATCTTGTTCTGTATTTGTTCAGCATCATATCCACACGAACAAAACGAAAATCATCGATATTTCATTACAATTATTTGAGGTATATTCAATGAGGATCATTTCGATTTTTAGCTGTGAATGCAGATTTATAGGGCTAAGAAATCCTTAATACACAGTGCAAAAATTATTGTTCTACGACAAAAATTGACGAAGTTATGGCCAAATTACTAAAAAAGTTCACTGACCGCCCGGCGCGGGGACGATGACGTCATTATATCCGATCCGAACGCTGCCGGCGTACTGCGTGGATAGAAAATATTTTTTTCTAGCCAAATTATCAGTTTTAGAGAAAAACTTGTAATGACATTTATTCATCAGAATAAAGTAAGCTATCGATAGGTAATTTTNTTTTAATATTTTAAATGTAATATTTATTATAAATACTGTATAATATAATCAATAGCAGCAATAAAACACATTGGTAATGTATGCAATAATTTTTATTTTTCATTTTTCTTATACACTATTAATTATACAACAAAACTGTAACTCAACTTTTAATCAACAAAAAGCAATATCGTTTCTAACAAAAATAATACTTAAATCAAATCTATACTATCTATGCTATCTATCATTAGAATTTTATACCATGTAGTACCATCTTTCCTGCTATAAAAGGGATCTCGTACTTCGAGGTCTGACGATTCAGAATTGTCGTCATTTGGAGCCATTACATTAAAAAAACTGGATTGACGTAATTTTTGGAATGGAATGTCATCTTCACTGTCACTTACTTCTTGGTCGGTATCACTTTCCTGGCTACGAACACTAACATTTTCATTTTCCAAATCATATGCATAAGGTCCATTTTCGTCACTATCTGAGGATTCTTCCAGTATCGCCAAGATTCGACGACGCTCACGTTCTTCCGGGTCCATATTAGACAAGTATCGGAAAATAAAGTATCGTAAATAAGTAAAACTAAATAAAACATTTAAAAAAATATGGCTCAAAACAGCAACCTCACCGTTGAGCTGGGTCATAATTACCCGGTCGCACGTTTACACACGTGTTGCTCCTTGCGCGGGCGACGGACGACTGAAGTGAGGTACGTGAAGGGGAGGGGTGATCCTTTGCTGCAGCTACTGAGACAGACGGTTGTGTGCGGCAATTATTTCTAAGCAAATTTTCGTATGCAAAACTTGCAGGGTCATATTGACCCTGCCTCAATGACGCCGGGTTAATAAAAAGCCATCTTGTTCTGTATTTGTTCAGCATCATATCCACACGAACAAAACGAAAATCATCGATATTTCATTACAATTATTTGAGGTATATTCAATTGAACAGGTAGGAAGCGGCAACACTAATTTGACAATGACAACTTTGAAACAAAAAAAAAAAAACAATATTGTTTTGGATTTTTGGCGCATTACTTTTAAAACTTGAGTTTACTATTTTTTGCATTCAAATATGACAAATAAGCATAGAAACTGTATTTTCTCATATATTTACCTCAGGCTAAGACGGATAAACTGGCGCCGACATTGGTTTCACTGCCGAAACCTCAAAAACCGAAGATTCTATTGCCGCCGGGTCGGTGGACGACGTACAGAGAGGATGAAAGCATTGTAAGTTGTAAGCAGCTTTTGATGATTTAATTACATTAATTACTTAGGGTATGTTCCGATATAACATCGCGAGCACCCCTCAGTGCTATACATCAACAGGTGAGCGCACTGGCTGTGATCGCAATGCTGTTTATGAACATAGGTACCCACAGTGGCTTTATTAATGTAAGCCCACAGTTTGATACGCGTGTGCAATTAACTTGGAATGCTTTAAGCGCAGATCTACGCGCGCTATTTGGGCGGTAAAGCTATCATATTTCGCTCCGGTCATATTATGCGAAACATTTTAATCGATTTTAAAATTAAAATACAACTTGATACAGTCTGAGATTCTTTATTATATTATTCCTGACGAATGAACAATATTTGATAGAGCATTTGTAGTCTTGTGATATTATAATCGCTTAATACTGTACCTAAATTACAAAGTGATACTATACTCATGTACAAATTATAACCATGGATGTATTTTGTTGATTTTCAGCAATTTCCATTTGAGACATTTGTGCCGAAGCTACAATTTCTCAGCATTGTGCTGCCGAAGGAGTTACCAAGGCTCGTGAAGATTGAGCGCTTGCGAAGGAAATTTCTTGCAGCTAATATCAAGGTATATGACAAAAGTTTATTTGAAAAAACTTATTATAAAAAAGTGTTCAGTTCAAACTATTACTATTAGCGAAAGTATGGAATCACAAGGATGTTCTGTTCCATGTGATTTTACAAACTGAATGTCTATGCTTGTCCGTGGTAATAGTTTAAAGTATATAATTTTACCTTTAAAATAGTACCACTTTTATGTATCTTATATTAGCTATTTAGTTCTTAAGGTTGTTTAAAACAAATAGGGGGATTCCATACTTTTGCTTGCGAGTGTAGATGTGCCCACGATTTGGAACGACTGAAAACAGTTTGAATAATAGCCTAGTCTTCCTCGACAAAAGAGCTATCTAACACAAATTATTTTTTCAAATCAGATCAGTAAGTAGTTTCTGAAATTAGCATGTTCAACCAAACAAACTTCAGCTTTATTGATGACTTCTTGACCCGCCCTGGCATCGCACAGGTTCAATGTATTATGCTTAAAAACCTTCCTCTTGAGTCACTATCTATTAAAAAAACTGCATGAAAATCATCCATAGGGACATAGGGACAGACAGAGGGAAGCGACTTTGTTTCATACTATGTATTGAAGTCTAATTTGTTTTTTAGAAAATGCTGCAAGGTCTAGGCATACAACCGTACTGGCTTCTCCCTCCGTCTGAGTTCCAGCTGAGCGACCAGGAGTACTATGGGTTATACAGCCCGTTCCCTAAGATGGAACTGGAGATTTTTGATAACACCGACTTTGATTGCCGGTATGTATTTTCTCTGCCAAGTTAGTAAATGAGCTGATATATATTTATTTACATTTGCATATCCATCAGATTATAATATCGGGCTTCATGTTAAAGGGGCATTATACAAAATTTTGTATTTTATAATGCCAGTTTATTTAAAAAAAAAAAAAAAAGTTGGTTAATATGATGAAAATATGTAAACAAAATCACTGATATTTCAATAGTGGTGTCTAATAACATTAAATTGAGCTGAAGTGGGGCTTGATCATTACAACATTTTATTAATCTATGCTGTATACTTACACTAAAACCAAACAAAAAGTTCGCAACTCGTCTATGTTTATAACCGCTGTCTAGTACCCATAGTACAAGCTTTTCTTAGTTTGGGACTAGAAGGGTAGTGTAAAATGTCCAAGGATATAAAAAAAATGGTGTTACAGCATCCCGGAAGAGTGGCTCTCCCTGGGCATGATTGAGGGTGAGCAGTACCCGTGCCCCGGGCTGGCCTTCATCCCTAAGGAGGAGGGCAAGGCAGCCAAGGGCGCCGGGGACACGATACAGATGCTCAACAATTTGTATGAGGTGGGTATAGGCGGGTTTTAGTCAAACAAAATTATTCATTAACTAGCTTTCCGCCCGCGGCTTCGCCCGCGTGGAATTTTGTCTGTCACAGAAAAACTTTATCGCGCGCGTCCCTGTTTCAAAAACCGGGATAAAAACTATCCTATGTTCTTTCCCGGGACTCAAACTATCTCTATGCCAAATTTCATCAAAATCGGTTGCGAGGTTTAAGCGGGAAAGCGTAACAGACAGACAGACAGACACAGCCGAATTGTATGAAGCGTCGGCGCCGAGCGATCAGCGTCACTCAGAAAGTGCGGTCGCTGATCGTCGGCGCTGACAGATCAATATGTATGTAATTGAAGGGAACGTTCCTGAGTGACGCTGATCGCTCGGCGCTGACGCTTCATACATTTGGGCTGTCAGCGCTGACGGTCAGCGTGCGTCAGCGTGACTCTAAAACCAGCCATAATCTTGAACCTCTACATCGTTCGTTTCAGCCGAAAAACGTCCACTGCTGGACAAAGGCCTCCCCCAAGGATTTCCACAAAGACCGGTCCTGCGCCGCTCGCATTCAGGCACCTCCCGCGACCTTCAGATCGTCGGTCTACCACGCTACGTCTTCCGGCCTCTACATGCTATTACGAAAAGGAGACATATGATAATAATATTACCTATGTATATACACTAATATTATAAAGAGGAAAACTTTGTTTGTTTGGTTGTAATGAATAGGCTCAAAAACTACTGGACCGTTTTTAAAAATTCTTTCACCATTCGAAAGCTACATTATCCACAAGTAACATAGGCTAAATTTTATTTTGGAAAGAAATAGGGTTCCGTAAAATATGTAGATAATGTAGTCCAGCGCGCGAAGCCGCGGGCAGAAAGCTAGTTAATGAATAATTTTGTTTGACTATTTTGTCGAACATCGGCATTCGCTTTCCCTGCTACTTTTCAATCAACATTGAAAGCATTGGGGGAGGCCTATGTTCAGCAGTGGACGTCCTATGGCTGAAATGATGATGATGATGATGATGATGACACAAATATTTATTGCATTGTGTAACTACTCTAGCAAGCAGTCATTATGAAAAAAGCTGTAGATCCTGGCTGCACAGGAGTTGCAGCGGTGGGAACGAGAGGTGGGAATAATCCCGTAGTCATTATGAAAATGATCACAACAGGGTATTGAGCCCACAGCAAGCAAACTATTGAGTAAAAAGCATTTTGTTTACTTTTCAGTGGACAAACGTGACTGCGTTCAGTTACGACAAGGAAACTGATCTTTGGGAAGTGATGGCGTTGGATGGAACCAAAAGGAAATTCAAGTAAGTTGCGTTTTGTTATTACCTAAGCTTATTTATTTATTTATATTTAAGCTTGTGTATCTGTTACGGTTAAAGTGATAAATTGAAAATTATGAATAATCTACGGTTATTATGAATAATTATTACCGACAGTCGAGGTAAAAGTGATAAATTAATCACATTTGTCAGTGATTATTTAATAATGCAACCTTAATACTAACAAATATCATAAAAGAGAACACCGGCTCGTGTACAGCGCCTGTGTACAGTCACACATTTTGAACGTTTTGATATCATAATATATTAATATAATTTGGCATAATGACTTTGGACTGTTTCTTGCGTAACATTACTTTGCCATAACGCCCATAACATATTGTTTTGGTTTAAAGTGAAAAATAGGTTAGGGTGCGGCGGGGGTGGCCCTTGGGCCACCCCTAAGCCGCCTATTTAGTTTTATACACACATAAATGATCTCATATTAATCACTTTTACCAAATCATGAGGTAATTATTCATAATAACCGGCGATTATTCATAATTTTCACATTTATCACATTGACCGTAACATATCTATCCAATTTACAATGTCAGTCCACTAGTCAGTTTTTAAAGCGACGAATCAACTAAAATAAAAATTGAATTGTGCAGTTTTTAGGCAGTTTCGTAATCTCTTTGGTCACTGCACTTACAATATTCTGTGTTCGTGTAAGGCTGCCCTTCAGGGTTGCTCTAATTGGTTGTAAAAATGTTTTTAACGTAGTATCCCGCGCATCCGGCTGATGTTCAAGGCGGATGATCCGGAGACGTTTGCGCAGCGTGTCAAGTTTGCTGTGGACCTACGCAGGGAGGTCGAAAACAACTTACGGTTAGTGATCACTTTAGCCTTGTCTAGTAGGCCTAAGATGCGCGCCGTGATAACTTTTATCGACGTCAAAATGTATGGGCAAAATCGATAAAATGGCGTGATAACCGCTTATCCCGGCGCGCATCTTAGGCCTACAGAAGGGCCAATTCGCCGCGAATCCTACGCGCGAACACGAGCGCATTGTATGACGTGATTTACGTGCGAATTTCAACTCGCGCGTATCTTTTGGACGCAATGTATTGGCTCCTAGTATCTCGCCAACGCGCGTATGGATTCTACGCGCGTAGAATTGGCCCCCCTAGACAGGCCCTTTATGTATTTGTTCCCGGTTTGTCTATGATGTAATTCATCATCATTATTTTCAAATTCAAATTCAAATTCAAATTCTTTATTTGCTTATAAATAGGGTAAATACATATAAGTGGTGGATGGTATTTTATAAAAGTGCAGTCCTATTTATCTGTCTGTCTGTCTGTCTGTCTGTCTGTCTGTCTGTCTGTCTGTCTGTCTGTCTGTCTGTCTGTCTGTCTGTCTGTCTGTCTGTCTGTTAACGCTTTCCCGCTTAAACCTCGCAACCGATTTTGATGAAATTTGGCATAGAGATAGTTTGAGTCTCGGGAAAGAACATAGGATAGTTTTTATCCCGGTTTTTGAAACAGGGACGCGCGCGATAAAGTTTTTCTGTGACAGACAAAATTCCACGCGGGCGAAGCCGCGGGCGGAAAGCTAGTAATAATCATAATCATAATAATCACAATCATAATCATCCCAATTTTGGTAATCATAATCATCACAACAATTATAATAATCATAATCATGATCATAATCGTTTGATATCATCCCTACATTATCGACATTGCAGCTTGCACTAAGCGTTTCGATAACTCTTTTATAATCTGAGGTGGAATTGTGTAAAGCAATTGTAATCATTTGACAGTTAATAACGTACAATAAAGTCAGTTAAACAAAACATTTGACAGAATAATCGTACGTCCTGTCCTGTACGTACCTGTCAAATGATTACGATTGCTTTACACAATTCCACCTCTGAACTGGACTGGAATTCGTTGCCGGCTGAATAAGCACTTATAGGGCAGGGGCATGTATTTACCATCCTAGACTGCATCTCACTTAACACCAGGTGCAATTGCGGTCAAATATGACCATAATGATGATCATAGTCATAACTGTGACGCGTTTCCACCGCCAGACGCTCTCGCTGGATGATTACCACGTGTAGGCGCTCAGAAAGAAAGTAGAATCATAATCATGATCGTCATCATAATCGTGTGGCGCATGGAGCGCCTGCATCGTCAGGCGCGCTCGCTTCATGAGGACCACGCGGAGGCGCTCAGGAAGGATGTTATTGTACAATCATAATCACAATCATGATCAGAATCATAATCATGCGGTGCGGGTTTGAACCCCCCTGCCGCCACTGGAATATTGTGGTAAACCCACTTGTAACACAAGCTTTAATTTAGCTTTGCACGATGGATTTTTTTCCAACGGGACTTTAAAATTTTATAATTATCACATTACAGGCCGAGCTCCTATACAGAAAGATGGAGGGCAAGATGAAGATAATATACACGATACAGAAGTACAGGGACTTGTATAACTTCATAGACGTGCCGACTAAAGATTACGTGGCGCCCGTGCCTGATTATGGTGAGACAGCAGACTAGATATTGACCGCGGCTTCGCTTGTGATATTCGGTCTGTCATAGGAAGACTTTATCCGTTGTCCCATTTACTTCTATGTTCAATACTCAATCATAACCACATTAGCACATTCACATTAGGTCTTACAATTTAGGCAGTTATACAATGTGGATCCAGTCAGGGCAGCAACTTTAGGAAGGAGACAGAACGACCATCTTAACAGTTTCAAAATAAATTAATGTACAAATTGAGTTTGAATGTTTTTCCCTGTATGACTTGTAGTGCTCTGAAAAGAGCCTGCTTACTAATTAAAGAAGTGTATTTGGTTTTTGATGGCACAGTGTAAAATGTCCAAGGATATTTAATTACTATTTACTGTCTGTTCAGGTATAGGTCGCTCAACAATATTTGAGGCGTTTGTTTTGCACGTTCATTCAAGTTTAAATATCGAATGCACTAGCTACCACGCTCTTGTCAAATGTCTGTAAGCGAGACAGAAAGCATTGTTAGTTCGTCAACGCAAGACGACAGCGCAGAAAGCATACTGATCAATACAAATCTTTTAGTCCGAGAGGGGACCGTAAGATACCCTACGTCATTTGATACTAAGATAAGCTCCATGGCACACGTTCAAAAAGGTTGTGATGAGTATGGAACAATTAATTAATAAACTCCAATTTGGCTGAAAGTACAAAAAAACATTGCAAAATTATGTTTGACATAATTAATGGGCATGTTTCGGCCATATAGTTAAACCTTCGCATGTCGTTAGGTTGATATCTCTGAGTGCCATGGAGCTTATCTTAGTATCAAGTGACGTAGGGTATCTTACGGTCCACTCTTGTACTATTTGCTTGTGTTGATGGGCTCAACTTTCTTTGCGCGACCTATAAAATAATAATAATTACTGTTTACTTCTGTCCAGGACGATATCCGTGCGTGATGGAAGACTTCCAAGGCAGGATGGAGTACAACCAGTGGTATTCTCTGTACGTGCTCACGGAGGCTGTGTCCTGCATACATCTGGTCGTGGACGAGTGCTTGAAGGTTAGGCCAGGATTTTATTACTTACTAGCTTTCCGTCCGCGGCTTCGCCCGCGTGGAATTTTGTCTGTCACAGAAAAACTTTATCGCGCGCGTCCCTGTTTCAAAAACCGGGAAGAAAACTATCATATGTCCTTTCCCGGGACTCAAACTATGCCTAATTTCATTAAAATCGGTTCTGTGGTTTAGGCGTGAAAGAGAGACAGACAGAAAGACAGAGTTACTTTCGCATTTATAATATTATTATATTATAGATTTTGAACTTTGTGGTAAAGGTGTAAAGCTCAGAATTCGCTGGCCTGATGACGACTCTATTTATATACCACAAATATTTAGTTCATCAGAAGCCGCTTTTTAATTGTCCTACAAGATTGACATAAAGGTAATAAACCTTTTCAAGTTTCGTATTTGTATTTGGCCAACCACTCTTGTGCCATGCGAACAGTTCAACGAAGTTTCTACATCGAAGGGAATGCCTTCCCTTCGATGCAGAAAATGCAACTAAGGGCCAAATTTGCGTACATTAGTGCCCGTTTTCACCATCAATCCCTAAGTTTTAAGTGACCCCTATGGTAACATTTAACAGGCATTTGTTTTCATAGGGGTCACTTAAAAATTAGGGATTGATGGTGAAAACGGGCATAGGTCTCTCAAACCCGTCTAACCAGCATGGGGATTGTAGGCCAAATCATCCGTTGGCTTTTAGTGAACTATAGTCTGGTCCGGGAGCACGTAGAATTTTGTCCAATGACCCCAAGCTACCCATCCTTATCGCTCGCGCGTAATTATATTGCTATCGCGACTGTAGGACAGGCGCCCGCAGTGAGTGTGCGAGCGTGACAGCAACATAATTACCCGCGAGCGATAAGGATGGGTAGCTTGGGGTCATAGGTCAAAATTCTACGTGCTCCCGGACCAGACTATAGAAAGGTTCATTCTCATACAGTGGAGACTAATGATGATGATGGTGATGAAAATTCCCTTTTTTCATCATTAGGTGGAGTTGATGCTATTCTTCACAGCCAACTATGGCCGAAATGTGAGCTTAGCGGAATTCGATGCGGCCCAACAACATTGCACCTCTATGGTAAGTGTTACCTAGTATTATCTGTGGTGTTACTAGAGACCTTAGTATTGAGAGAACTGAGTTTCTTGCGCTGCTTCTTCTCAGCACTGGCCCGTTTATTTTCCTCAAGCAGTGGTAGGGTTAAAAGTGCATTTTTAAAGCCTGTTTGCAGAAATAAATGAGTTTTTAATGAAAAACCAATCAGATCTCCTGTTTCTTGAATAATGTTTGATTGGTTTTTCAAAACACTTCTCCGGTCCGCTCCTTGGTGGAAACCGGGCCCAATGTCCGTTTTCACCATCAATCCCTAATTTTTAAGTGACCCCTATGAAAACAAAATTCCTGTTATGTGCTACCATAGGGGTCACTTAAAAATTAGGTATTGATAGTGAAAACGGGCATAGTCTTTCGTGATATTGTGTGCTAATTCTACTTTGATTTGCTGTTGACTGATTTAAAACATCTTACTAGTGTAGTACATCATATTGCATGGCTTTTTGTGATATTGCAGATGCTGAAATACCTAAATATAACGTGGTTGAACAACACAGCGCATGCGATCAGAATGTCCTTCAGGGATGTCGGTAAAGGGTGAGTATGAAAATGTACAGTAGGCCTAAGATGCGCGCCGTGATAACTTTTATCGACGTCAAAATGTATGGGCAAAATCGATAACATGGCGTGATAACCACTTATCGCGGCGCGCATCTTAGGCCTACAGGGTGACTGAAATCGTTGGCATCCTTTTAATATAAGACTCTACACATGGTAATATAGTGCATTCCCCAAAAAGACTATTCAATTGAGTGTTTTTTGTAGGTGGTACAATATTTACGAGAAGAAGTGGGAATTCTACGGCGTAAGCAAGCTTTGTCGGTTCATGCAGCTCGTCAGGTTCCGAATGCAGGTTGGGTTTGTTCTTATACGTTCAAGGAATTTAATTGTCAATAGTGTCCAATATTGTAGAACTGCTTTTATAGAGACGAAGGACTAATAAGTACTATTGTCCAACTACAACGAATCGTCCTATCTGTGACATTGACAGGGGGCGCCACCGTCAATACCGGATCGCTGTTTCCGATTTTGGCCATGTTGAAAACTATATACTTAGTAGGATGAGATGATGGTGGCGCCTCCAATGAGCTTGGTGGGACAGTTCAGTGTAGTTCATCTATAATATCGGCTCAGGAGAGCAAGTCTAGATAAAAATATAGATGTTTGGCATTGAATAAAGTTAGTTTATCTCTGCCGTATGTCCCGAATTCGAAAAGACTGCTGCAATTGACCGCAGTGTTCGCAGATATAAGTATGTGATGTTAATTTTAACTTCTTCCATGAGTTCCTAAGTGGACCCAGGACAACAAAGTGATCCTAAAAGGCATTCGTTTTTTTCTTTTAAGCAGTGGAACCCTAAAAATAATGATTTTTTTTACTTGCTTCTCTAAACCTTACTGGGTTACACTTGAGTGTTTTACAATTTTTGCGAAATATCGTGTTTTCAGTCAGGGGCGAAGCTACTGCTGTATTAGCGATATCAATAATACAGGCCCCCTGCCCTATAAGGGCTCCAAAGACGGCTTTTTTCGGATCAGTCGGAGTAGGCAACTACTTAAGGAAGATCTGCAATTTTGCAATGACCTTTTTCTAGATGAAAAAGGCCTTGATCTAATGACCTTTTTTAGATGGGGCCCTTAACAATGTCTTTATGTGTTAAAGCCTTGGTAACCTCTTCAATATACACACTGCCCATTTTTTGGGATATATTTTCAACAACTAAGTTGCGTAAAAAAATTAGTGCAAATAAAAATAAAGTTTAACTAAGTTAAGTACTAATACACTAGTAATGTGAAAGGTCTATTCTCATAAATGAAACACTGGATACATAACTTGCACATTACAATCACAGATGAGAGAGTTAAAGCACGCTATGCCACGGTAATAATATCATACAGTATTGTAACTTCATATAAACCGATGAAACGCGAGCTTTCCTTCGAATTTCAAATCTCGGGACGTGGTCGAAATCCCAAAGTTAGGGGTGTCACGAATGTGCCGAACGGACGTCGATGGCCTAGTGTTGAAAATGACTAAGGTTGAATTTGACTGACCGTCATTTACGATCTTTGTCAAAAACTAGTCATTAACTGTCAGAAATTGTCATTTTCAGTCAGTTTGATTTGAAATGAAAATTATACAGGGTGTCCCAAAAACAATGGATAACCCTGTAACCATCGATAGGCCTCGCCATGGTCTCCCTAACGTCCAATTTTGACCCCAGTAAAAATATCACCGTTTTCAAGATTTTTAAGTTTTTGTGCATTTTTAGAAAATTTCCACCTGCGATTACTTTTTCTCATGCCATTTCTACAAATGAGGATACTTTTCAATCTAGTTTTTTTCGTTATCACAAGGGATAGTTGGGCTATCAAAAGAAAAGATTAAAGTTCAACAAACTAGTTTAAAAGTATGAAAATTTTAAGAAATTGCAGAGAAGAAGGAAAAATTAATTCATTGTCTTGCACTTTTGATCAGCCGTCGTGTAAAAAAAATGTAGGAAGACCATCGTGCCCATTACCTTAAAAACTTCCTTGGTTAATTGAGATTCTAAAAAGGTATCACAAGCCTATGTATTCTGTATTATTTTTATCTTATGGCTACTTGAATAGCAACTAGTATGAAAACTGCAAAAATGAGTTTTTCTCGTAATAGTTAAACTAGGACTGCATAGTGGCATTAAATACAAATGGATAATTTTTAGCGTAGGAATTTTAATAAAGCAACATTTTATCATCATCATCATCATCATTTCAGCCATAGGACGTCCACTGCTGAACATAGGCCTGTACCCCAATGATTTTCATAATGACCGCTTGGTAGCGGCCTGCATCCAGCACCTTCCTGCTTACCTTTATGAGGTCGTCGGTCCACTTTGTAGGTGGACGTCCTACGATGCGCTTTCCGGTACGTAGCCTCCACTTGAACCCTGTTGCCCCATTGGCCGTCCGTTCTGCGTTTTTGTGATTACTTAATTTTTGTTTTAAACCTTATAAATGTGCCTATAGACAGATACCCGTGATAATACACGGCTCGGAAACGTGGATTTTTTGGACAGCGTGCTATGGAAGGGGCTATGCTCGGGTTTCTTCACGAAACCGTATCAGAAATTAGGAGATCCGTAAACGAACTAAAGTCGCTGACATAGCTCGACGGATCAGCAAGCTGAAGTGGCAATGGGCAGGGCACAGTAGTTTGCAGAACTGAGGCAGCAGGGTTAAAGTGGAGGCTACGTACCGGAAAGCGCATCGTAGGACGTCCACCTACAAAGTGGACCGACGACCTCATAAAGGTAAGCAGGAAGGTGCTGGATGCAGGCCGCTACCAAGCGGTCATTATGAAAATCATTGGGGTACAGGCCTATGTTCAGCAGTGGACGTCCTATGGCTGAAATGATGATGATGATGATGATAAAATGTTGCTTTATTAAAATTCCTACGCTAAAAATTATCCATTTGTATTTAATGCCACTATGCAGTCCTAGTTTAACTATTACGAGAAAAACTCATTTTTGCAGTTTTCATACTAGTTGCTATTCAAGTAGCCATAAGATAAAAATAATACAGAATACATAGGCTTGTGATACCTTTTTAGAATCTCAATTAACCAAGGAAGTTTTTAAGGTAATGGGCACGATGGTCTTCCTACATTTTTTTTACACGACGGCTGATCAAAAGTGCAAGACAATGAATTAATTTTTCCTTCTTCTCTGCAATTTCTTAAAATTTTCATACTTTTAAACTAGTTTGTTGAACTTTAATCTTTTCTTTTGATAGCCCAACTATCCCTTGTGATAAGGAAAAAAACTAGATTGAAAAGTATCCTCATTTGTAGAAATGGCATGAGAAAAAGTAATCGCAGGTGGCAATTTTCTAAAAATGCACAAAAACTTAAAAATCTTGAAAACGGTGATATTTTTACTGGGGTCAAAATTGGACGTTAGGGAGACCATGGCGAGGCCTATCGATGGTTACAGGGTTATCCATTGTTTTTGGGACACCCTGTATATTGTATAAAACCAGCTTTTGCTAACGATTTCGCCCGCCTGAAATTAAAGTAACAGGTCATTAAGTACTCATTATGATTAGTAGATTCAAAATTATTTTAGTATATTTTTTTAAATTAAATCTACTAATCACAAAACAACACGCATTTTTAACCTATTCCATTCACAAAGTATTTTGTTTGTCTAAATAAAAAAAAATACAATCACAAAACTAGAGAGAAATTTTAAGTAGACAGATGTAATTTTATTAGAATGGGTACTGTAGGTAAGCAGCCCTATTGCATGTTGTCATACCGTGACGTACCGCGGGGCTGTTGACATTTTTTTTCAAAAATATGGCCGAGTTGGAATACTGTATAGATAGTATTACCGTGGCTATGCCATTGTTTCCAGTACGCCCTGCGCTTTTGCATCGAGCAATCGATGGCGATGTTCGTTGCTATGTGTGAGACTCCATGCCTCTGTACCTACTGGTGCGAGGACGACTGGGAGTGGGACGCGTCGGACCTCATCAACTCGCCCTTCCGCAGCGCGGCGCCCACGCTGTTCTACTTCTACCTCACCATGGGCGCCGACGGGCCCTACTACACCACCAATCCGGCGCAGTTTGAGGTGAGCTGGACGACTGGGAGAAATGAGGAAATCCGTAAACGAACTAAAGTCGCTGACATAGCCCGACGGATTAGCAAGCTGAAGTGGCAATGGGCAGGGCACATAGTACGCAGAACTGACGGCCGATGGGGCACCAAGGTTCTGGAATGGAGACCGCGTACCGAAAACCCAGCGTGGGACGTCCACCTACAAGGTGGACCGACGACATCGTAAAGGTGGCAGGGAAGCGCTGGACGCAGGCCGCTACCAATCGATCAACGTGGAAAGCATTGGGGGAGGCCTGTGTTCAGCATTGGACTATGGCTGAAATGATGATGATGATGATGATGGAGACTGGGAGTGGGACGCGTCGGACCTCATCAACTCGCCCTTCCGCAGCGCGGCGCCCACGCTGTTCTACTTCTACCTCACCATGGGCGCCGACGGGCCCTACTACACCACCAACCCGGCGCAGTTTGAGGTGAGACGCTGCGTTTTCCAGTACGTGGCCTCCACTTCAAAACCTTGCTGCCTCATCGGGAATGGGTTATGATGGGCTTTTTCTACCAAAAGGGCCTGTGGCCTGTGCTCACTAATACCTGACGGTGACTTTTAAGATCTATTGGGATGGAACTTCGAGTTATTGTCCGGGGCTAAAGTCCGGTCGCTATGTATAATTACGTACGAGCGATACGGATGGGTCGCTCGGGGTCATCGGACGAAATTCTATCTGCACGGCTAAAGCAGGACTAAAGTCCAGTTAGTCCTTTAGAACGCCTCCCGAAGCATAGCTCTCTAGCAGAACGGCTCCAAGAGAGTAGTCTCCCCAATTTCCCACCACCTATCGTTCCAACGTTACATTGCCAGTGTAACCAGCATTTACCGATTTATATGATTCAAGATTAAATAAATATTTATAGCTTAACCGTTTTCTTTCAGATCGTAATCCAGCGGTTATTCCGTGAGATGCTGTACCGATGCCACTTCATTCCGCAAGTGCACCCGATGATCATGACCGGGCTGGTCTTCGATAAGGAGCTGTTCCTCACTTCGATCGGTAAGCTAAATCCATCAACTAAAGTCTGTTCGCCGAGAGTTCATAAAAAAAAAATTAAAGTTAACTCATTATAAATTTTCGGCCCGCTAATTAATTTTGTCGATATAATGAAAAAGTTGGTAGATTATTTGGCCTGGCCTTTTTTTTGGCCTGGATTCTCGGCTCGGTTACAATTTAATTTTTGACTACCATTTATAATAATGTTCTTAAAATACCAATTATCTACCAAAATCTACTAAACGATTTCGCACTACTAAATCATCGTTCTCTTTGCAACTAACTTTCGCTAACATTTATCAGGTCTTATGGAGCCGAACGTGGTGGAATACCGCGACCGACTGCTCAAGGCGTATCGCAAAGCCATCATCCCATTAATAGCGTATATGCGCCAGTACGAGTGCTACAAGGAAATATACTTGCTGGACATCGAGGAGTACGTCGAGTGAGTGTTGCCAGTTACAACAATAGTTTTTTATACCTTCTTAACCCTTTATAGAAAGAATAACGAAAAAAGTTTATTGGTACCTGGCGTGTTGCCAATATTGTAAAATCCAAATGTAGCAACATGATGCAATAAACGTTTATGACTATGACCATGACTATGACTATGAATACGACTATGACTATGACCAGGCCTGCACATCTCCGCGAGTTTGCATCGAAAACAAAACACGCGCGACTACTCCTCCTGAGGTACCTAATCGACAGGGACAATCACGAGCGAGTATTGACGGACGCACGTGTATTCTTCACCCATTTGCATTGTAAAGACAATAAACTATCATCATCAACAGCCCTTTACAGTCCACTGCTGGACTATGAGCCTCCTCTACTATAGTGGAGGGTTTTGCCATAATCTCCACGCTTGGCAGGCGGGTTGGAGATCGCAGTTTAAAAGATTGATGTTTTTCAGAGAGCGCTGCTGCCCAAACTATACGAGTATGTAAAAACGGTGGTCAAATTAATACTGTGCAGTATTTTAACTGCCTGAATAATACTAGAAACACAAAATATAATTCATGCTTATTCATGTATTTCCTCCGCCATTTTCCGCAGTTTGGCACCTCACGTCACACAACATTTTACCGAAGTCAGCCCTATGGCTTCGGCGCAGTACCGATCACTGACGTTTGTCAACAAAATGGTGCTGGACTCTTGAGACAAGCTAAATTACACCATATTGTTAAGGACATTGAACATACATTTTTTTACATACCTTCGCGAAGAAAATGTTCTGTACGAAATACTTATTATTATTCTGTGGTATTACAACAATAGTGTTTATACCTTAACCCTTCATAGAAAGTAAAAAAAGAAAGAAATAAAAAGTATTTATTCGATACAAGTAAAAAATAAAATAACAAATAGTTGTAATAAAACCAAACAGTAAGGTACATGCACCAAAATGGCATCAGTTCAGTATAAGCCGTGACGGCTCAGTATTGTAAGATCCAAATGTACCAACATGATGCAATAAACGTTTATGACTATGACCATGACTATGACTATTGCCACCAGAATCTTATTCACGCAAGTGAATATAAACATTGCATTGATTTTTGATCTCATCCTTCACGGTGTGGATTTTTATTGGTGGTCAAGTTGTAGATCCTGGCTACACCAGAGTTGTAGTGGTAAGAACGAGAGATGCTAATGGTCCCGTTATCAAGGCTAGAATATTATCTTCGAGAGAAGATAGGTCTTGGTATTAATTAAGCTTAATTTTAATGATTCGTTTTATGAGTTGGATCCCCTATTACATATAGTGTAATTTTTAGTCTGCACTCTGTATTAATTTTAACTGTGGAAACTGCTGATTTCTGTCCTATTTTTTGGGTGATTATTTGTCTGTATATCAAAATTGTTTGTTTCCCTAATATCAATAAATAAAAGCATCTCTAACAAGTATATTATTGACAGGAACTTCCGCCTGGAAAAGCATTCGGCTTCAGAGACGCGGGAAGAAGTTCAGATGCATTACGACGCGAAGCAGGACTTGATTTGGCGCCTGCCTCAGTACATCAACATAGGGCCTTTTGCGCTCAATGTAGACACGCTTAAGGTATCTTATATGTCTTCTATCTTATTAGGCTCTGTTTTGAATTAAGTTTAACTTAGAATAACTGAAAAAATACACTGGTCATCACAAAAATCGACCCTCCCGCGACAAGCACTTTCAAACGTATGCATCCCCAGTTCCCACCAATATTGGTTCCATTTAAAAGCCTAGTTCTAAACTTCATTTCATTAAAGGAAAGGTTTTTACCCCAAAAATGTGTCTGTAGAAGAAATCAGAGTCACTTCTTCAAAAAATAGGTAGTTACGCTTGAGCCAACTTTTATGGCTATAAAACTGTTAAGTTGGGATTAATCGCTATCCATCTGTTAAAGAGGACACGTGAGATCATTATTTGGTTTTATAACCATAAAAATTGGTCTAATTGATCCCAGAGATGAGCCCAAAGTGAGGTCTTTTTTCAAGTCATATTTATTGTATATCGCGTTTATCTTAATCGTTTATTAAGAAATCAAATGTGTTTTTCTTTAAGAATATTTATTGGGCTTTCAAATAACACTAATATTATTGGGGCACCATGATTGTGTCAGTAGAAACGAGTTTTCCTGTAAAACGTAGGTGGGCCGATTTTTGTGATGACCAGTATATATTGGCCATGCGTGTGTATGTATTATAGTTGTAATGCGTCCCATTTTATTTATGTGTATGAATTTTATGTCGTCAATATTCATAAATATCAGGGAAATAAAGTTCCCTAATTTAAAGAAGTTCTAAATTACGTTTTATTCCATAGCAACTTCTGGTGAACAAGCGGTCGGACATTATCAAGGCCTTACTGACGATGTGGGCGGAGGAAGTGCGGATGGTGGTGGAAGACTCCATCCAGGTATGATGACAATCAATGATTTCTTGTGCTGCTCCTTCTTAGTACTGGCCTACATTATTGTCCTGAAACAGTGAAAGGGTTTCACTGGGGCTTATAAGAGTGCTTTTCAACCCTAAGAGTAGGCGCACACCGTTGATTTTTAGTTGACCGATTGTTGTGCCCGATTTTAATTTGTATGAAGAATCGGCCAAATCGAATCGGCGTAGTGTGCGCACTCCCATACATGCCCATACTGATCAACTGCCCGACTAAACTATCGGTTGACGAAAAATCAACGGTGTGCGCCTACTCTTAACCAGACTTAGGAAACATTTTATTCATTGATTTTCAACGTTATCTTCACAGCATAAAGTTCAAATTGATCTGTTTTTTACGCAAGGCCTACAAAAGCATAATGCGCAAGCTGGGTGAAAAGCCCAACACCATAGAACACGTATTCGAGATCCGAGAGTGGATGGAATCTATTCCCTTCGCGCTCAAGACCCAGGAGGATATTATGAAGAAGGTGCACACGGTGAGTGATACCTATTTATACATCAGTAAGCCTAGGATGCGCCATGATAAACTATTATAATGAGGGTTTTCGCGATTGAAAAATCCGCCAGATGGCAATACGTAGACGCGAGGTCCAAATGCTGCGTGATTGGTGGATTTTGACATATCTGTCAATGTCATGTTAAAAATAACCAATCACGCAGCATTTGGACCTCCCGTCTACGTATTGCCTTTGGATTTTTCAATAGCGAAAACCCTCATTCGTTCCATCCACGAAGACGCGCCCCACCAATTTTTGGTCTCGGTCGCGCGGAGTGCGGGGAGTTTGATCCGAGCAATCTGAGCGTCATTATTGTAGTGTGCGTGTGCACTCATGGATAATTTAGCGTGTACCGATAACACTCAAACATTAGCGGAAGAATGGTGGGACGCGTCTTCGTGAATAAGACGATCTATATCGAGGCATTTTATCGAGTTAACGCGATAAGCCATATATTTGTCGTCTAAAATCATCGATAAGATTTACCTACTATAGAGCGCATCCTAACCTGTGTATAAAATTAAAAAACAAGAGCCTATAATATGTTACAACAATTTTTGCAGGATTATGAAGTTTTGGATGCCTTCTTCATGCCATTAGAAAACGACGATTTCAAAGCTCTATGGGAAGCCATCGGATGGCCGTTGTCGATAACAAAACAGGTTAGAATGTCTCTGATGATTGTAAATTAATAAGATTAGGATCTTGCTTATTACATTTTCCTGTTTTAACGCATGACTAAGCAGTGATTCCAGAAGTACCTTTTAGGCTGGTTTTAGTGTCATGCGGACTGTCAGTGGCGCGGATCGTTCCGCACAGCCGATCTGTATGAACTGCTAGGGAGCGGAGCGGTTCCTCCGGACCGCATTACTCTAAACGCTCCCTAGAAGTTCATACAGATTGGCCGTGCGGAGCGGGTCCGCACCGGACGATCCGCGTGACACTAAAACCAGCCTTAGTTATTAAATTTCCAGTCCACGAAGAAATACATAGGATTAATGATATATTCTCAAATCTTGTATCTTATTTGATTGACGTTGTTTCACATCATAACATACATAATGCTCGAATTGTATAGGTATTTGACACCATTTCCCAATAATTCTAAAGCAAAACTTTTTTAAAAAGACGCTTCTTTCTGGTCTTAAAAACTTAATTAATTTTTAATTACCTGTAAATTTCGATTTTTGATTGCATTATAATTGAAAAAAGTATTTTCATTGAGTTGATAAAATTGTGACGTCACATGCTAGTATTGCCGTATAAAATCTATGGGAGACTGTCGTTTTGACAGTTTTAAAAAGTACGTCAATTGATTGGTAGTGTCAAATACCCTATTGCAATGCTATCCAGGTGGACGTAACGACCGAGTTCCTGGAGGAAGAACAGGAGAAGTTCTGGAAGCTTCACCAGATAGACGAGCAGACTATGTTCGATAAGATCGACATGTACAGCGCACAGTGCATGGCCTTGACGCTGCAGAATGACTTTGCCAAGGTATGCATTGTGTATCATCGTTCGTTTCAGCCAAATAATGTCCACTGCTGTACAAAGGCCTCCTCCAAGGTTTGCGAGACTTACATTTTTTAAAGTAAAATCGACAAAATATCTGAAGACACATTTTTGTTGCAAAATAGCACCTATTTCAACTATCGGATACTATAATGTTTATCTAGATGTGCTATGATGTCTGTACATTGTAGGTACAATCAATGAAAATGCAAACTATTGTGTTCGCAAATACCTCCGCTAAAGTTTTCATAACAACCGGATTTGCGCTGCTTGCATCCATTACTTTCCGAGACCTTTACAACATGGTCGTTACACCGAGCGGCTCCTACCCTATCCACGAAAAATACTGTAAGGGCTTGAAAAAGTTCTGCAGTGGCGCCACTGTGGCGCGCTTGTCGCATCATTACCTGTGTCCAATGACAGTTAACTTTCCCCCGGGACAACTTCACTGACCTTCACTGGTTGGGTATTGGCGGTCAAGCTGTAGACCCTGGCTATACAGGTATTGCACAGTATAGTGTTCATACAATATCTGTAGCGCCACTACCGTGACAAACGCGAATGGTAGTGACGCTGCAACTGCGCCACGGCAGCGCTTCCTCACGCTTCTAATTTGAAGGCACCTATATGTATTTATGCAGGTCCATGAGATAGCCAACGACATCAAGAAGGCGTGGAAAGGGATGAAGGATTCTCAGGAATGGGGCCGCATCCTGAACCAGCGTCAGAAGCTGTTCGGGCAGCCCGTGATACCGTTTACGGATCTCAACCGCCTGGTGAAGGAATTCGAACCGTACAGGAACCTTTGGGTCACGGCTTCAGGTCTGGAAAACTTATTTTATGCCAGTGAAGTAATGTCGCGTTAAGACCCGTGTCTTTCTTTTTAAGTGAAGAACTAAACTAATCAATTGACGTAATTTTATGAGTTATCAAAACGCAATTTACACATTGGATAGATTTTGTTTGAGTCACCGCTTCAGGATTGCCTATTTTATGAACGACTTGGAAAAATCGAACTTCTTAAGGCGGGAATCGAACCCGGGCCGGGCGATTGCTCTTCCATTTGAGCTACTTATGCCCGTTTTCACCATCAATCTCTAATTTTTAAGTGACCCCTATGGTAACAAATAACAGAAATTTTGTTGTCATAGGGGTAATTTAAAAATTAGGGATTAATGGTGAAAACGGGCATGAGACACTGGATATAATAACTATGGCATTTTTTGTCGCAATGAATTGAATAGGGCATTTGACAGCTTAATTTTTATGGGCTGTCAAAAGGCTATTCACCTATTGTATAGATGACACACGCTGAACTGTCCCATCAAACTCAATGACAGGGGGGCCATCGTTCAACTTTATGGTGAAAACCATGGCAAAAATCGTAACCAGCGATCCGGTATTGACGGTGACGCCCCACTGTCAATGTCATGGATAGGATAGTTCAGTATTTTGGAACTAAAGTATAATTTTGAAAGGCAATACAAGCGAATGAGATCTGGGAGCGGCATTCGGCTGAAACGAACGAATTGACTAAAAGCTTTGATTTTGATCGTGCAGATTTCCTGAAAGCGCGCGAAGTGTGGTTCGACAACCCGCTGATGTATGTAGACGCGGACTCAATCGAGCCTCTTATCAACGAATACTACAAGACGATCGTCAAGTGCGTGCGCACATTTGCCGACATGCCCAAAGTGCAGCAAGTAGCCACCACTATACGGGTGAGTGGGCAGTCTAACGTGACAGTTGTTATACAGGGTGTTAGTTAAATGGGCTTATAAGCCGACACTAGCCCATGTTAACATGTTCATATAAATGGTATGGTGAAGTCAGAAAATGGATATCATTTTAATTATTTTCATTTTCACTGGAAGTGCTTTTATTTTTTAGTTTATTCAATAGGGACTGACCGGATTTTAACTATGGATACACTGTTCTCCATGTTGGCTTTTAGGCTTCACGCTATTCTATTTTTAAAAACTAGACTTAAAATCTCTGATCTTTGAGCTGTATTGCCTTCTTGTTAATCTATACTAATATTATAAAAAGAGGTAAAGTTTGTGTGTTTGTGTAAGTATTTGTTAAATTGTAAGGGGTAATCTCGGGATCTACAGAACCGATTTTAAACATTTTTTCACCAATAGAAAGCCACATTATTGCTGAGTGTCATTGGTTATAATATAAAAAAACCGAAAAATTACACGCGGGCGAAGCCGCGGGCGGAAAGCTGAGCTAGTCTGAGACATTTTTAATATATTTTTGTTTTTTAATTACAGGATGACATCGACGAATTTAGACCTCTAATACCTGTCATTCAAGCGGTCAGAAATCCGGGTATGAAGGAGCGACATTGGAATGAGTTTATGGAGAAAGCTGGTAAGTATCACTCATTCACAGTCTTGTATCTTCATAAAATTTAACGCCAATCGCGTGATTCCAGCAGAGTAGAATGAGAGCACCCCCTTTTCAAGAATGTCGTGAGAGGCAATTAAGAGAGATATATTTAAACATCAGGCCTCCCCAACTTTTCTTGCAATCTGGAGTGTAGGCCTAATCCTCCATTTGCCTCTTGTAAAGGAGATCATTCAGGCTTCATACATTTTTGGGCCTTTTCTGAAAGTGCCGGCCAACAAAAAAAAATGGTGCGTATTATTAGAACTAGCTATTTGGAGCAATAGTTAATATGGCATAAAAGTTTTAGGCCCGCTCTGAACCAAGTTATACAAGTTCGATGATTCATCATTTTCATGTATTTATTGATTTTTGAAAGTGCAGAGAACCATATAATGATTATTGATATTGCTAGAACTAGTTATTTGAAGCATCTGCCATTATAGTGCGAAAGTAGTGGGTTCATTGTCTGTCAGTTATTTAAGTGACAAAAAAGTAGTTTTCATATTACTTCATTTTCCACCAGTTCATCCATTATAATCTAAGCAATATCTATAAAACCTTCCTCTCACGAAGCCCAGGTGTATCTACGCCGTGTACCAATAACTTTACGACAGCTTAAACACAAATGATGAGCCACTTCACACAACAAACAGAATCTGAGTCTAATATTCACATATAGTCCGGTCGCCGAGCACGTAGAAGTTTGGCCAATGACCCCAAGCTACCCATCCTTATCGCTCGCGCGTAATTATACCTATTGCTGTCGCGATTGTGCGACGGGCGGCCGCAGTGAGTATGCGAGCGCGACAGCAACATAGATTCGTGCGAGCGATAAAGATGGATAGCTTGGGGGTCATTGGACGAAATTCTACGTACTCGGCGACCGTTGATGATGATGTTTGTCGATAACGCAAAAGCAGGTAGCCGTTTGATGTAACGCGAGTCGCATGGATAACTGGATGAACTTCACTTCAGTTTTCAATGTTCCCGTCTCATTCACTGACGGGTATGCTCCGAGCCATCCTATTAGCTGGCATGTTTGCTCGTTTCTTCTCGGCCACAGCGATACTGCTAGCGCGGGCCACGGATGTATCTTTTTCGTTTCGTCATCGCGTTATTTGATCGCTAACTTAGAGCGGTCGGTTGATAATTGTTTTGGATCATGAGTTTCTAACAAAACATATTATTATTTTCCAGTTTGCCAACACTTTAAAAGTCAATAAATGTATGAAAATGATGAATCATCGAACTTGTATAACTTTGTTCTGAGTGGTCCTACAACTTTTGTGCCATATTAACTATTGCTCCAAATAGCTAGTTCTAACAATACGTACCATAATTTTTTGTTGCCCGGCACTTTTAGAAAAGGCCCAAAAAAAATGATGTCCTTAGAAAGAATCGTCCTCTTACAGTGAAGACATAGACGATCTGATGAATATTAGTGATGGGTATACCTCTATATTTCTCCAGGTATAACCGTGACGATGAACGAGAAGCAAACATTCACGATGTGTCTGAAGCAAGGCATGGCTGCCCACGGCGAGCTGATCGCCGAGATTGGGGAACTGGCCAGCAAGGAATACGTCATCGAGCAGTCCCTGGACAAGATGCAGGGCGACTGGGCCAACAAGGTCATGGAGATAGCACCCTACAAGAACACTGGTGAGTGGTGACAGCTGACGTCACGTGTGTCTTAAGGCTATTGAGTGGTGACAGCTGACGTCACAGTGTCTCCAGCGAGGCATGCGAGCTGGCCAGCAAGGAATACGTCATCGAGCAGTCCCTGGACAAGATGCAGGGCGACTGGGCTAACAAGGCTATGGAGATAGCACCCTATAAGAACACTGGTGAGTGGTGACAGCTGACGTCACGTGCGTCTTAAGGCTATTGAGTGGTGACAGCTGACGTCAAGAGTGTCTTAAGGCCATGGAGATCGCGCCCTACAAGAACACTGGTGAGTGGTGACAGCTGACGTCACGTGTGTCTTAAGGCCATCGAGTGGTGACAGCTGATGTCACAGTGTCTCCAGCGAGGCATGCGACCTGGCCAGCAAGGAATACGTCATCGAGCAGTCCCTGGACAAGATGCAGGGCGACTGGGCCAACAAGGCCATGGAGATCGCGCCCTACAAGAACACTGGTGAGTGGTGACAGCTGACGTCACGTGTGTCTTAAGGCNGTTGTGACGTCACGCGCGAATATTGGAAATTTTTGAAAATTTTAAAATGTCCGTAAACTTCTCGAGGCTCTATCTTCGGTAATACTGGATGGATTGAGGTGAAATAAAAACTAGTGTAATGTGTGTGATCTAAACTTTAAATTAAGTCATAATTTAACTTCATATTACAACTTATGCGTGTTGTCCATTGAAGAAACCCACAATGTCTTCTTTATACCAGGAAATCTTCAAAATATAAACAGCTTCCCGTAGCCACTTCTCCCAAATACAGCGAGGCAAGGGTGCGGGAGGTTTTTATGGAATGCCACATACATACGCCATCTTGCACGAGGCGGGTAGTGTAACAAATTCGGGTGGAATTGTGTCATTCTCAACCGGGCCGAATTATTGTGAGGTGCGCTGCTGACGCAGATGTAGATTTGTGACTAGATGTGTGAAGAACTTCCCTTAGTTCTTGATATTCTTGATATTCTTGTAATAATGGTAATACTTCGAAATAATCGTTGGTGTGATTCAATTTGAACATCTTTCTATTATTATCTTCCTTCATTGTTTCATCCTATAAGAGATGAAGTTCTAAAGAGCGCCACAAAGCACGATCTCCCGCTTTTTATTAAATACAATTATTGACAGAAATGATGGGGCAGCAAGGTTCTGAAGTGAAGGCCGCGTACCGGAAAACGCAGTGTGGGACGTCCACCCACAAGGTGGACCGGCGACATTGTAAAGGTAACAGGAAGGCGCTGCACGCAGGCCGCAACCAACCGGTCAACATGAAAAGCATTGGGGGAGCCCTATGTTCAGCAGTGGATGTCCTATGGCTGAGATGATGACGATGAGACCATGCGCCTAATTTCTAACCAGCGATTCATTCACCTAGTTTTATCAACCAGTCTTTAACGTTGTTTACATTATTTTTTCCAATGGTACATCTAGTACATGTTTATGTCCTTGTACACACGGGCCTACTGAACTCAAAAGGATATTCCGGCGAGGAGTCCGCGTTGTGTAACAAAAGTTATGTAACATAAATGACCTTTTCGCTGCCGGGATATTATTAAAAAAATAAACTTTACGTTTGACTACTTCACGTAATTTCCTCACTTCTGCCCTTTTTCTGCTGGTTTCAAATTGTATAAGGTTTTGTCTGCTTATGAACAATGTACAAGCAAGCGGCCAGGTAAATGAAGTGTTTGCACTTAGTAATATGCAATTAGTGGTTTTAATAATATAGGATTATTATTGAACATTTTGAAACACTACTTCCAATTGAAGAATTACTCATAAAACAGAATGTACACTTCCAAAGCCTAGATATAAAAACGGGGTATGTTTTCACTTTGAAAATTAAATACTACCTTTCCAGGGCAGCACTCGGGTCGTTTACGCCCCTATTATTTTATAGGGGGCTCCGGGGATGGGGCCAAAATACGACCCGCGCGGACCTTCGTGACGTACAGGTGTGCTATACGTAGCTGTGTGGTGGTCATTTGTCGTAGGTAGGGTGTTGAAGTCACCCTAAAACAATGTTTTAGAGGTTTATGAATTATTTTTAGAGAATTTAGGTTGTTGCAATGATACTGACGTCTGAAGTTTAACGAATTTTATTGACCGTTCATCTTTACTCGGTTTAAATTTTTTGTTAATTTGTTATACTTACCTTGTAATTTTATTTGACCCTTGCTTCACTTCATAGGTCGCGTACTAGACTCAAACGAACGTAGAATACAAAAAATTCAGGAGTAAATTAATCCACTTACTATAATGTATGTTTAAAGACCAATCCACGTATAATGTACAAGCTTTGCTCAGTTTAGGACGATGAGGCTGGGAAAAATGAAAGCATATTCTTAAGAGATGACGGTAAAAAAACTCTTATTCAAACAAACAATTGGGTTTCTACTCATACAAAAGTAACAAAACCAATTTTCACCTCCACTATGCGGTTTTATCAAACGCGGAAGATATGCGTGCGTGATACGCGAAAAATATTTGGCCGCGTACTACAAAATATTCGGTTATTTACCTCCGGAGTGCAGACCGAGGGAGGCTCTGACATGTTCACATGTGCGATAGAATATTTGAATTCCCGCCTCCGTATTTTCCCTCAACAAAATGGGGTATAAGCGGTGGGCCCAATTCTGCCACGCACCTGATAAAAAGGCGCAGTACGCTATAAAACTATGTACGAATATCAGAAGATGTTATTCCGCGCCGGGACGAGGCGAGGAATCTAAATTCATGGCCTTATGTTATCTTCTTTTTCTTTTCAATGCTGTGTTGTGTTTATTTTTGGCCAGGAACGTTTTTTTCTTCTGCTCTAGAATGTTTTTCCAGGTTTATCTATTGTGCAGACGACGGATAAAGTCTGTGACACCTTATACCTACATATGAACTGTAGGTACTACTTTTGTAACAAAAGTTTCTAGTCTGATGCTGAAAAAGTTACAATTGTTTAAACTTTGTATCGAAATAGCTGAGCGTGACGTCAAATGTCATTCGCCTATCCGACACGCAGAGTCCCATACAGTAACTTGTATGGGACTGCGTGTCGTTCTAACATGACCAATGACTTCATGAGATCTCTGACGTATCTTAGGTATCTTTTGAATTTTTTGTCAAAAAAGCACTAATTGATTTGATAATACCAAGGCTCCTGAAATGTGAGAAATAAAAAACCTTGCATATTCCCCATTGTGCTTTATTTATTTATCCTATTCGTTCTTTACTTTTCAGCGATGTTCTAAAACTTTCAAAGAAGATTTAGAGTTATTATAGCAGAGAACGTATTGCTATTGCTAACAGAAATAAGTGCTATTAAATTATTTTTTTTAGCGTTAAGAGTCGCATCTCAAACTAATTTGAAAATTATAAATAACTTGAAAAAATCTAACTGCCTAAGGCGGGAATTGAACCCACGACATTGAAGAGCAGTCGCCCGGCAAGCGGAAGGTCGTGGGTTCAATTCCCGCCTTAGGCAGTTCGATTTTTTCAAGTTATTTATAATTTTCAAAAAAAGAAATAAGAGCTGTTTGCGAACCCAATCAAACTCGCAACTTGAGTTCAGGAAGGTAAGATAGAATCAAAACTTACTATAGGCATTAAGTTTAGTAGGTATTCAGGGTTCTTATATAGTTATAGTAAACTCTACACTAGTGTAATAGTTTGAATGTTTGTTTGTGTGTTAGAAATATTAGTAGTGATCTAATCTAATTATTTAATACTAGTTTTCCGCCCGCGGCTTCGTCCACGTGGAATTTTTCAGTTTTTTATATAACCTATGACACTCAGCTATAATGTGGCTTTCTATTGGTGATTTTTTTTTAATCGGTTCAGTAGATCCCGAGATTACCCCTTACAATTTAACAAATATACAAACACAAACTTTACTTCTTTATAATATTAGTATAGATTATGTAGAAGTTTTTTCTTCTTTTTACTTAGATGTATATTATGATCACTGTCCCTACACGAACGACCTAGGGCTGTTTATTAGGGCTATTAATGTCAAATATAAAAAATAGACATACATCATTCCACTTGTATCAAAGTATTAACCGTGTAGCCATATAAAGAACTTACTTCGTGATATTATGTAGACCTTCAATATCATCTTCGTTATCATCACCAGATTAACTAGTCTCTACTACAAGAGCATAACCCTCTCCCTTCATAGAGACTAGAGAATGGAGACCTTAAAAATTCAGTACCTACATCAATATCATCGGTGTCCTAACCGGGCTAGCCCTAGTATAACTTATAGCTGTTTTTTAGGGTTCCGTACCTCAAAAGGAAAAAACGAAATCCTTATAGGATTACTTTGTCCGTCTGTCAAGGCCCTTTTTCTCAAAAACACGTGGAGGTTCGTTCGTTCGTTCGTTTCAGCCGAAAAACGTCCACTGCTGGACAAAGGCCTGCCCCAAGGATTTCCACAAAGACCGGTCCTGCGCCGCTCGCATCCAGGCACCTCCCGCGACCTTCACCAGATCGTCGGTCCACCTAGTGGGAGGCCTGCCCACGCTATGTCTTCCAGCTCGTGGTCGCCACTCAAGAACTTTCCTGCCTCAGCGGCTGTCAGCTCTACGAGCTATGTGCCCTGCCCACTGGCACTTGATTTTAGCGATTCTGCGGGCTATGTCAGTCACTCTGGTTCTCCTACGGATCTCCTCATTTCTGATTCGTTCACGTGAAGGTATCAAGCTGAAATCCATATCAAGTCTACTGTCTCTTGGAGCTGTGAAAAAATTTAACTTCTAAGCCAACGCAATAAAAAACTACAGCGTTTTTGCCGCAAATTTTTGACACTCGCAACGGAATCAAAACCTACAGTTACTTCCCGTGAACTCAAAATCATTAAATTTGGTACGAAGCAATGTCTTATAGACAGATAAAGGAAAAATTTGCGAATTTACTTATATACCTACAGGTTTGTACGGAACACTCGGTGCGCGAGTCCGACTCGCACTTGGCCGGTTTTTTTTTCTCCAGAAACTATATAACTAAGCTGCTGTCTAAGCACCAAACAAGATAACAAGGTCACCGGCTCAACTCCAAGTTTCATTAGGCGGGCAGATTAGCAGCCTTCAGCCCTCGTTACTGCCGGAAGTGCTGATAGCCGCTGATTGCTCCAGCTACAGTTATTCCTAAGAATAGAACACTGAACAATGATAGGAAGAACCTAATTGAATTACAGGTAGCTTATAAGTATGCAGCTTTGTTGTTTTAAAAGATAAAGTTAATATCTAAAAACATAGTCTGTTCTCATTCTGGCGAGTCGGAAATTGCCGTTTTATGTAGTTTTCGTTTAGAAATTGCGATAATGATATCATGTTATTAACCGCCTCTGTGGTCTAGTGGTAAGACCACCTGCTTCAGACGCAGAGGTCCCGGGTTCGATTCCTAGTGGGGGCAGATTTTTCTGTTCGGTTTGGTTGATGGTAGGGCTTGTTCTAAGTCCGCCT